ACTGAATTACCATCTTGAAAATTATGGCAGCACAACGGCATGGGAAATAAGAAAGAATCTATATGTGGATAACATTACCATATCTGCGAATGGAACAAAAGAAGCTTTATATAAGTACGAGGAAATGAAGAGTATTTTTGAAGAAGCTTCAATGAAAATAAGAGAATTTCTTTCTAATGATGAAGAATTCAATGAAAGAATACCAGAATATGATCGAAGTACAGCCAACAAAGAAAATTTTCTCGGTCTCAAATGGATTCATGACATGGATGTTATTCGTGTAACATTAAAACCATGGGTTGGAAAGAAAATAACGAAAAGAACAATTATACAATTCGTTGCTTCGCAATATGATCCATTGGGTTTCTTAGTTCCTTCGATGGTACCATTCAAGTTATTTATCCAATATCTATGGAAAGAAAACAAGTCTTGGGACAAAGTTTTAAATGAAGACGATGAACAACAATGGAATGCATTAATTAAAGAATGGTCAACGAATGTTATAGACGTGCCAAAATTTGCGATAACAAATTCACTACAAACGGAAATCCATGTATTTACAGATGCTTCAAATGTTGCATATTTTACAGCGATGTATGTACTTCGTCAAGGAAATCAAGGAACAAAATCAAATTCATTTTTGATTTACGCTAAATTTCGAATTGCTCTAATTAAAGGCATATCTATACCCAGACTTGAATTATTATCCATATTAATTGGAGTAAGAGCAACTCAATTCGTGTTAAAACAATTAGAAATGAATGAAAATCAAGTTACACTGTGGTCAGATTCTAAATGATGCTCTCCATTGGATCAAGAATTATACAAAATTGCTTCCACGATTTGTACAAAACCGAGTCGAAGAAATAAGGGAAGCAAAATTTGCATTTCGGTATATACGAAGTGAACAAAATCCAGTAGATATAGCTACTAAAGGTTTCTCACCAAATAAACTCTGAAACTATAACCAATGGTGGAAAGGACTTCAGTGGTTAGGAAAAAAATCGGATTGGCCACAATGTGAATTTAAATATAAAGAGGAGAATTTGAAGAAGCAACTATTGCAAAGATTACAATGATAACTCCAGACTTTGAAAGGAAAATAATTAAATTCATC